GTTTCCATATAATTTATCTGATTGACATTTCGCTAGATGACTTAAAAAAAAAAGAAACACATTTGGCTGTATGCCTGAAATCAAATGTATCAAATCAAAGGTCCTAGAAAGACAGTGAGAAGTTTTATTTAGAAATTTTCAACCAAAGGATTCCTATCTACTTTATACATTTGTATAAATTCATAAACATTAAGAATTGACATGTTTGGTTTTTGATATTTTATTGAAAGCATGGGGGATAATGATGAGTCTAAAGGAAAATTAAAGCTTACATAAGTCATAGTTTGTGGTTATGAAAACATGACTGATTAAACAACTAAAATAACAACAACGGATTATTAAGCCATTCCTTAGATTAAACTGTAAGGATATTTTTAGGCAAATATTACCATAAATTTTCATCATTTCATTGATTTCAGTTTAAATAAAATGCATTACATTCAACTATTCTGAAAAATTAAGCATATTACTGAAATCATTACTGGAAAATTAACAGAAAGTAGATAAGTTTTATAAACATTACTGTATGTCAAACACATTTCAATGCAAGTTATTTTGAAACAATTAAAAGAAATAAAAAAAGTCACTGCAGCAGAGCGCTCACTATAAACAGACGTTCAGTGGTAGATATTGTACAAGCTCTGAAATATGTTTATTTTATGGCTTAAATGGATCCTCAAAGATGCCAGAACATTTAATACAGCTTCTCTCACTGGCTTTGTGTGAGAGAGATATAAATGGTGACTGATCAAAGAAGCTTTTCATTGACTAAATATCAGAATAAACCATCAGAGCCTCCAGCCTACATGGCAGCGTTGATCCTCAGATCTGGAGCTGATCTGATTTCAGAATAAACTGCTGCCTCTGCTGCTGCAGGACCTGGATTTCCTAGAAACAAAGAGACATTTTTAATACTAAAAGTCAAATGAATACAATTAAAGCAATTATAACTGGATATACTGCAACATATTAAATGGCATAAAATATAATTTGTAAAAATTATGGGCAGAAAGTACAACAGATAAATGTTGACTTTACCCTTTCCTTTCTTCTTGGCTTTCTTTTTTGGATCAATCGCAGCATAGACTGGAGTGGAGTCTGAAATCAGAGAACAGATCTCAGGAAACATTTGATCAGTTTATCTTCTTTCATACAGAACTGATGAATCACAGGACCTACAATATCTGAGCTGTAATAACCTGCAGTGTAAAGTTGACATGAAGAAACATTTCACTACAAAGACTGACTGTACCTGCAGCTCCTGTTTTCACCTCAGAGTAAACAGCGCCCTCTTCTGGTGCAGGATGTCTCCCTGGAAAAATCATAAAATAATCACCAACATATAGGATGAAACCATTGAGTTATTTTATCGACTGTAGAGATGTGGGACTCACTCTCTTTCCCAAATGTCTTCATTTCAATGGGAGTGTATGTAACGTCTCCGGGTTCTTCTGGAGCTGAAATATGTATGTTTTTTTGTTAGGCTATTGTAAATTACCCAATAATTTCATATGAAAACAGCCTGAAAATATTGACCATTTCCAGCAGTTTCAGCAGAGCTGACAGTATCATAAAGATGAGCATTACCTGAAAAGAGAAAAATGTTATTAATTTGACCATAAACAGCAAAAGTAATTTTTCTTCACATTTTTTCTTCAGATTGCTAAATCTCTGATCTAAACAGCAGCACAACCAGACATAAAGTCACATTATAGACATTTTGAAAATTCAGAGCTGAAATAAATGTTCACAAATTTCACAGCAGCACATAAACAGTAATAACTGCATCACATAATCTCAGTTTTCCATAAAGCACATAAGNCAGTGTATGAAATTGTCATCTGTTCCAGAGCAGCTTGGAGATTGTGAATCACCTCAGTTGATTCCTGCTGTAACAAAGAAAACCGTCCTGCCATCCTCTGATTCCTCTGATTCCTCTTTGCTCTTTCTAAATTGGCTTCTCTCTCAAGGTTCAACTGATGACTATAAACTTCCACTTGCTGCCTCAGAGCAGAAACATCCATTTCATACCTCGTTCCCAGTTCCTGGTAACAAAATTTACTTTGCTCCAGAGAACCTTGGAGATTTTTAATCACCTGAGTCGATTCCTGCTGTAACAAAGAATATTGTTCTGCCATCTTCTGACTAAGGTTGTTGTTTTCCGCTCTGAGTGCCTCAATGAGCTGAAGGTCATTCTTTGCTCTTTCTATATCGGCTTCTCTCTCATGTTTCATCTGATTATTATAACCTTCCACTTGCTGCCTCAGAGCAGAAACGTCTGATTGATACCTCCAGTTCAGTTCTTGGTATGAAACATTGATCTGCTCCAGCTGACTCTTCAGAAGTTTATTCGTCTCCTCCAGGCAGGACATTTTCTCTTGGAGATTCTCTTTCTCCGCTCTCAACTCTTCAATAATTTGTTGGGCCTGATTGATTTTGTCGTCTTCTGGTTTAGATTGGCGCTCCTCTGCTGCCATCAGGTCTTTCTCCATATCCTTGAGCTGGCTGGCGAACATCTCCTTAAGTTTTCTCTGCTTTTTCAGCTCAGCTTTAGTGTTCTCCAGGTCTCTCTGGATGGAGGCCAACCTTTGGTTCTCCTGGACGTCAGCAGGAGCCGGTCTGTTCTCCACGGGTTGCTGATGTTGTCTATCTCTAAAATCACACGGCTGGGGTTTCCTCTCACCGTTACAGCGCTGTTGCTTTCGATTTGACATGTTTCTCCAAACAATGATTCTTCAAATCTCACAACTCCAAAAGTGCTTTGCGTACGTCTGAACTCGTCAGTGGTGTAGCAAGCAAAGACAAGAAGTTAGAAGTTTGTTATATAAGCTGTGTCCGAATTCAGGGTCTGCATCCTTCGAAGGACTGGTCTACGTAGGACGGGTCCTTCGAAGGCCGGGAATAAACTAAGACCGGAAGAAAAATATCTGTGGATTCGGACAGGTCTAGCCTTCACCAACTGTCCCCGCCCCCACCTCAGCGTAACTCATGTTGCCAAGCAACCGTGACAGCGTGAAGCAGAGAGCGGAGAAGAAAAAAAAAACAAAGGAGCCGAAGTTTGTTTTTCAGTCATGTATTACTGATTTCTATTAGTCTTCAACTTTTATAGTGAAGGATGTTCCATAGTAAAAAGGAAATCTCTTAGTTTGATTCTAAAATGTGCAAATGTGTACTGCACAAGGAATACAAATTATTCATTTACAAATATAATACTCTCCACATCGCAGATAGGACATTACGGTTAAATAAACCTATTATGTTTGAAGGCTTAACTTTAATTAATCAATCAAACCGATGTGCTCTGCTTTGAAATACTTTATAAACCAAACATTTTCAACCAGACCTGTCTGAATAATATCGGTGTTTAACTCCCACTCATTGGGGAAAGCTAGCGGGAGTTTTTATAACAATGTGCCAGGAGTTAGGCGTTTTCTCTCGGTATACCGAACCTGGAGCGCCCGGCCAGCTGACAGCTGGAGGGGAGCTGGCTGTTAACGCAGCGGTAGCAGACAGGTCCGAAAATGTCAGAGCAATATTGCAATTAGGTGATGTATTGATGAACCGAGCAGATATTTGAGATTTACACACTTACATTCTCGCCTAAAAACGTTGTACCAAATCACGTTGTGTCATTTAAAGTGTTATATAGCTAAATAATTTGTCACTATTCACCGCCATTGATGCTCTGCCTGAACGCCCAGTTGGAACCCGCAATGAATTATGGGATATCGTGGGCTGTGAAGGATACACCGGACCCATCCTTCAAATCTGGGGAAAAGAAGGACGCATTTCTTTGAATTCAGACAGGCCTTAGTTTAGGCTAAGTTTCTTTGTGACAGAAGTAACAGTACTACAGTCATGAGTGTGTGTAATGTACCAGAAACCAGAGTCTAGTTGACTCTGGGAGAGAAGAGACAAAGTATTGAGCTGAAACTTACATCTAGTTCTTTTTCACTGAGTTGGTTGTTTTTTTATCGACTGCTAATGGCCAAATGACGATGTATGGCCAACACAGACCACTAAAGAAATGATTGATTTGAATATTTTATCATTTGAATATTTAAACTACAGAAACTACATCCCCTGTAACGTAGAACTAAAAGAGAGGGAAGAGACTTATATGACATCCATACTCTCAGACTCATCATTTTTGCATGAACCTTTTCTGTTTCGGTGCTGAACCTTATTTGTGTTTCCGGTTTCGACCGCGCTCAGCTCTCCGTCTCCGTACATCCAGGTTTCAGCATGAGACACGTATCACACATGCTGTGTGTTTTCTTTGGACTCTGTCACACACCATGTCAAAGAGACCAGACAGAGAGGTCAAGAGGTCACTTCAGCTTCACAATCAGGCTAATGAAAATCATTAATGTAAAAATAAACTGAACTCAAGGTGATGTTCAGTCTGCTTGGCTGAAATCTGTGATTTTTTTACTCCTTTAAAACGCGCAAAACACTTTAATGTACGTTTCACTTGTGGTTATTCTTAAAATCTCTAATCAACTTCCATTTATGCTTGAAATACTGACCTCTGGTGGCAGGTGGTGGAAACTGCAGCAGATCTTGTTTTAGTATTTTCTTAAATACCATCAATATTTAAATTATTTAATGAGTGTTCTGTAAAGAAATTAATCATTTCAGTTGTAGAATTCACCTATTGAGGTGCTACATTTCATTTAGATGTATAATGAGGATCATTATTTAACCTCTGTATGAATCTTGGTTGAATATAATTACATTTTTACCTAGGAAAAGCAAAAGTTAACAGATCAAATCCATATTTATTATGAATAAATCACATTAAAATAATAGTAAATCTTCATTAGAGCTATTATAGTAGCTTTATCTACTATAAGGTTACTATAAGACAGTGAACTGTTTCATTTCAAAATTTCAACCAAAGGATTCCTACCAATCTCATAATTTTACACAAGTTATATAAACAATACAGACTGAATTGACTTAGATTTACTCAAAAGGAAGAAAAAAATCCCCTCATGTTTGGTTTTTGATATTTTATTGAAAGCACACAGTATAATTATGTTAGCTAAGGCTTTTTATAAGTATCATAGTTTATGCTGACAAAAAACATGACTGATAAAACGACAGAATATTTAGCCACTCTAAACAGATTAAACTGTCTATGAACATTTTAAACCAAATATAACTATGGATTTTTTATTATGTAATTTATTTAAATTGAAATAAAATGCATTACATTCATCTATTCTGAAAAATGGAGCATATTACTGACATCATTACTGGAAAATTAATGGAAAGCAGATAAGTTTTATAAATATTACTGCATGTCAAACACTTATTTTATAGTATGTTATTTTGAAACAGTAGAATGACAAAAAAAATTCACTACAGCAGAGCGCTCATTATAAAAGCAAAGGTCAAAAAGACAAATTCCAAAAATAGATATGAAAATACATACATAATTCAAATAATGTAAAATATTCATCAGCTCATGCTGTCATTTCAAAAATATTGATGATGTTCAAGAGGAGCAGAAGATGAGAAAATATCACATCACATATTTTACACATATAACTGCTTCATCGTCACACAGCAAACAATTCAACCAAATTCAAATTTCTTTGTGTGTGAGCCATAAAACATGCTACCATGTATATTTTATGGCTTAAACAGCTTCTCTCACTGGATTTGTGTGAGAGAGATATAAATGGTGATCAAAGAAGCTTTTCATTGACTAAATGTCAGAATAAACCATCAGAGCCTCCAGCCTACATGGCAGCGTTGATCCTCAGATCTGGAGCTGATCTGATTTCAGAATAAAGTGCTGCCTCTGCTGCTGCAGGACCTGGATTTCCTGTAAACAAAGAGACATTTTTAAAACTAAAAGTCAAAAGAATACAATTAAAGCAGTTATAACTGGATATACTGCAACATATTAAATGGCATAAAATATAGTTTGTAAAAATTATGAGCAGTAAGTACAACAGATAAATGTTGACTTTACCCTTTCCTTTCTTCTTGGCTTTCTTTTTCGGGTTGACCTCAGCATACATTGGAGTGGAGTCTGAAATCAGAGAACAGATCTCAGGAAACGTTTGATCAGTTTATCTTCTTTCATACAGAACTGATGAATCACAGGACCTACAATATCTGAGCTGTAATAATCTGCAGTGTAAAGTTGACATGAAGAAACATTTCACTACAAAGACTGACTGTACCTGCAGCTCCTGTTTTCACCTCAGAGTAAACAGCGCCCTCTTCTGGTGCAGGATGTCTCCCTGGAAAAATCATAAAATAATCACCAACATATAGGATGAAACCATTGAGTTATTTTATCGACTGTAGAGATGTGGGACTCACTCTCTTTCCCAAATGTCTTCATTTCAATGGGAGTGTATGTAACGTCTCCGGGTTCTTCTGGAGCTGAAATATGTATGTTTTTTTGTTAGGTTATTGTAAATTACCCAATAATTTCATATGAAAACAGCCTGAAAATATTGACCATTTCCAGCAGTTTCAGCAGAGCTGACAGTATCATAAAGATGAGCATTACCTGAAAAGAGAAAAATGTTATTAATTTGACCATAAACAGCAAAAGTCATTTTTCTTCACATTTTTTCTTCAGATTGCTAAATCTCTGATCTAAACAGCAGCACAACCAGACATAAAGTCACATTATAGACATTTTGAAAATTCAGAGCTGAAATAAATGTTCACAAATTTCACAGCAGCACATAAACAGTAATAACTGCATCACATAATCTCAGTTTTCCATAAAGCACATAAGATGTGTTGCATAAATACAGAGAAACTGTAGAATATCTGCAGCTGGAGTCTGGGTCAGCAGCAGAGATTCATTGATGACCCAAATCTGTAAACACTGAGGTTAAGAAATATTTGTAAAAAAAATTATCTCAATAAATCTGACCATGACAAAGGGAACTATAATCACGATGTTCAGTCTGGTTTGTAGTGAAGGTCTGACTGTTGCTCTGTGAGCCTTTTGACCTGAAATATAATAAATACATGAAACTTATTCAGGAAAAAAAAATCCACTGCTTTTCTTTAAAAGGGAGAAGAAAGTTATGACTGTTCTCACCTGATGCAGCACAAATCTGTGAAAAAAGTCAGATTTGATTATTCAAATCCTCCTGCTGCCATTTTGTATCATAAAAGAAGTAAGGTCAGGAATAATTAAACAATTTACAAATGAATATTTGGATCCAGTGTGAGGAGAAACATGTTCTCACCTTTGGACCGTCTGCAGCGCCACAACAAGATCAGGAGAATAATGAGAATAATTCCAACAACTGGTCCAACGATCATCATGACAAGAGAGCTGATAGGACTGGACACAGCTGCTGGAAATAAACAAATTGTTATTTATCTGTGGTTTTGATCACATCATTCACTGGAAACAGATAAATGTGACTTAAACTGGTCCACCAGCAGCGTTCACCTGATTCCTAATTAAAGTGATTTTTTAAAATCAAACATTTTCCTCCTCCTCACCTCTAACAGACATCCAGCTCCTTGGTGAATCTTTTCCTGAATGTTGACATTTGTAGAAACCTTCATCTGACTTTGACACTGCAGAGATATTCAGCTCCCCTCTGCTGTCATTATGGATGAGTTTATCATTATGATAGAAAAACACATTGGAGAGAAGTTGTTGTTTTTTATCTCTGCAGCTCAGAGTGACAGGATCTCCCTCAGTCACAGGATGAACAGGACTCAGCAGGAGAGGAGCAGAATCATTATCTGTAAAACAACCAGAGAATCATGACATTTAGTCAGAAACTGGTGGTAGTAGAACTAAACAGTTTTAAACAAAAAATATTTCCAATTAATATTTTATATCATATTTCAAGTAGAAAACATCAAATGTTTTAATATTAATACCTCATATTTATTTTGTCACCTGAATATTTTCTTTTTTGGCCGCCTATGAGGATCAGGACCATGTCTTCTTATATTTTAACATTTTGATTTATGACCACTGGTCAGTGCCATGTAAAACTAACATTGAAATGATTTTTATGATTTTTTTGGTGTTTTTCTTATGTAACACATGTAAATGCACATTTCTCATCATTCCCAGTGAAATTTGCTCTCAGTCAAATTTCTGCTTCCTCTATTCAGATTCATGAGTAAAAAGCTAAGCTGAGAGTTCAGACGTCCACAACAGAACAAGACTTTAAAATGACTGAATGATAAAAATCTCACAAAATTAAAGTTGTCAGTTTGATTTTTAAAATATAAAATCACAATTTGGTTAAACACTAAAAGAATCAGTGAAAAATGTTTTTATTTTTTTTCATACATCATGTCATTTTCAAAACGACAACTTGGGAACCCTGAACCCAGACTGAGTGTCTGACCACACAGTAGGTCAGCCTGATTGTTATTATTGACAAAAATCAGGTAAAGTTTTAGTTTCTGATTTATTCAAGTAGAACATATTTAATCTAAAAACAAATAAGGATAAGAGCAATACGTTTGACCTAAATATAAATCAAAATGTTTTTATTTTAATTTGTTAATCATTGCATGGAAAACCTTGATGAT